GCCCCTTCTCTGTTGCATTGGGCTTACCGCATCCAATGCACTTGCCGGAGATAGTGGGCACCCCCGATAACTTTGCCACTTATTTCCACAGTGGCACTACTGCTCAGCAACCGATCAGTTGAACACGTCGGTTGATTGTGTCACACAGTTGATCGACTGCGCCCAATAAACTCCCAACATGGGTTATCTTGACTCTGATGCTGCTCAATTCAACGCATAGTTTGGGACGGGCCAAATCAGCACCGGCTGTTTAACCATTCCTGATACAACGGCACTGCTCAAAAGGTCAACTCTTAGTCGGAGGGCAGACGCCCTGCAGAAGCCAGGAAGCCCGGCGTCGCTCGACCATACCCCATCCTTCCTCTGCTGTTGCATCGGGATTACCGTATTCAATGCACTTGCGGGAGACGTGCGCACCCCCGACAACTTTGCAACTTATTTCCACACTGGCACTGTCTACAAGCGTTAAGATGAGCCACCGAACTGTTTACGGTCTGGGCTTGCTCTAGGGGGGTAGGTATTTCGTAAGTAAGACAGTCAATTCAATTTACGGCCTCTCATTTCCCACCTAATGACATAAAACCAATTTCCTGACTCTATGTACCATGTCCTGCCCAGCCACTGCGGCCACTGGTGGAGTAATGAAGCATGTGCCGCTCTCGAATCTTGCTTCTGGATGGTATTGAACTGGCTCAATCTAGCATCACCGGCATCTCTTGGTGAATAGATTCGTTATCGGTCGAGAGCTAGACCCCCACTTGTTTAGATGTACTTGCTCCACATGCCTCCAATCGTGTCCGTGGGAAGATAACCGATCAGAGGTGCACTGGGTGGCAAGTCCTGCCCTGCACGGGTGCAGAACCCCATTTCTCGCAGAGCTTGGTTCCACAATGGTTCAGAGACGCCTGCCTCACTGCAGTACTTCAGCTTCATCCAGCGGCTTCTGTGTGGATGGGAACCGTTGACATACCGGCATGACTGGTACTTTTCTTGCACCCGTAGACTCAACTTACCCAATCCGTGGACTAAGACCAGATACGTTGGGACAGGCCACAAACCCCGGCAGTGGCTCACCGAAATCAGAGCCGCCCCCAGGACGGATTGGGCATAGACAAACGGGCTGTTGACGTTCTTGACAAAACTCCGAGTAGGTCCCATGGTTCCCAGCAAAAAGATCAACGCGCGAGTGTACACAAAACCGTGCAAGGGCATGATGCTGGAGTGGTAGTC